CTCGCTCGCTCATTTACCCACATAATCTTTAATTTTTTCTAGAATTTTTCTGACTTTTTCTCTCCTCTCCTCTCTCTCCTCCTCTCTCTCTCTCTCTTCGAAACAATTATTTATTTTTAAGACGATCTTTTCCGCCGTGTCTTAATAAAATAAAATTTACAATTCGTTTGTTCGTCCGTTCGTTTGTTCATTCGTTTGTTTCTTTAGTCCGTTATCGCATTGACGAATTGTTTGTTGTAACGGATAAAAAGATTTTTTTTTATAATAATAATTTCATTCTTCGTAGGCAGACTTCCGTTTTCAAACACCAAACCATATAAAGAATAATTTAAAAACGCTTTAGCATTATTCAGAGCGCACGCACTCACGCACTCACACACGCTCGCACGCACTCTCGCGAGTATCATTACCAGACAACAACAACATTCCTTTTTTTTTCGTACGGCGTAAAATATTTTCTTTAAAAAGGAAAAAAAAGGGGGGGGGGAAACGTTTTCGAAAGGGTTTGTGCAAACGAACCCCTACCCAAAGACGGGGGGAGAGGGGGGAGCAAACATTTTTTTTTTTTATACCCACATAATAATTTCACAATAACGGCAGCTTTTTTTTTGTGTCAAAAGCAACGAGTTATCGAAAACTACTTCATCCATTCATCCATCCAATCATCCATCTGCCCTTTTTTACATCCCTACTCGTGTGCACGTTCTTCTCCTCTCCTTCTTCTTCTTTCCACTATCTTTCCAACCACCGGCTCGACAAAAACAAAAACGTATCTTATTTCTTCGTTTGTCTCCCCGACTTATTGCCTACCTGCCTCCCTATAAATAAATCAAAATTTCGACGCGTGGCTTTAACAACAACAGCATCAGCTAAAGCAGTAGCAGACGAAAAATTCAAACTAAACGTCAGTCAGTCAGTTAGTTAGTGACACGTCAGTATTGTGCAATAATCAACAAACGAAAATAACTTATTATCGAATAAAGATAATTAAATTATTTAAAAGAGAATTTAATTGATTTTTTTTTTACAGAAGAATGAAGTCTTAGCGTCTGCATTCCAAAAGATGGATAGATAAAAAGTACAAAGGAAAACACAAAACGGAAAAGAAAGGAAAAGGAAAGGAAAAAGGGGGGGGACGATTAGGACGATTATTAGGAAGAAATTAAAAACAAAAAAGTGACGATAACCGTACGAAAATTAACTTTTAGCAGAAGAAAAACAAAAACAATCGATCGATCAATAAATCGATTCCTGTCATTTTGCGTCTCCCCTCCTCATCCTCCTACTCCCACCCCTCCTCCTCCATGCTCGCGTGTGCGTGTGTGCGTGTGCGTGCGTACGACTTGTTGTTCGTTTGGCTCTATTGGTTCTGATAACGTCGTTATCGGTTCGTTAATTTCAGGTCAAAATTTACTGATACGAACACATATAAATCGACCGGATATTGGAATTCGATTGATTGTTAAACGTTTCTCTCTTTTTTTTGTTTTGTTTTGTTTTGTGTGCAACAATTCCACAATACGAATGCCACACAATAATAATAATAATAAAATTCGTTCGGATTTAAAGACAGGCCGTAATAATAATAATAACAACAACAACAAACAACAAATAACAACCGAAAGAAATTTTTATTATTTTTTTTTTTTTTAACGAGTGAAAGTCGATTGATAATTACGAGTTTTTATTTCCATTTTTTTTTTTTTTTTAAATCAAGAGTACCGATATTTAAAAAAAAAAAAAACTGTGAAACGATACAAAAAAAAACTTCCTTTTACTTTTTTTTTGTGTTTGTCTGTTTGTTCCTTTCAAAAAAAAACATAAATTAATTAAAAGCGATTCATGACAAAAAGTGTGTGTGAGAGAGAGAGAAAGAGATAGAAACAAATTTCGTGCTCTTTTTTTTTCTAAAACAGGTGTTAAACGTTTTCGAAAAAAACACATTTCTACTTCCACGACTTTTTTTTTTATTTTTTTTGCGTCACGCTTTAAAAAAAAAAAAAAAAACCTTTGCACGAGGTCTTAAATCTTTTCAATGGCTGATTGATATAAAAAAAAATCTTTAAAATGTTTTTAAAAAATAATAATAATAATAATAATAATAATAATAATAATGATAATGATAATAAAACAATTTTTAAAACCCAACAACACGCGACTGATTCTTCACATTCAGTACCAGATGATGAAATAGGAAATAAAATTATGAGTTTTTTCTTTTTTTAAAAAGATTGTATCGAACAAAAGCAAGCAAACACACATAGACAGACAAACAGACAGAGACAGAGATATATACGAACCCGTAGATTTGGTTTCGTAGGGAGAATACGTATGGCACACACAACACGAGATTAAAAAAAAAAATGGAAAGGAAGGAAAGGAAGGAAGGAAAGGTGGGGTGACGCTCACGTTTACCTTACAAAGGAGAACAACAGGTAGGGGATAAGAAAAGAGTAAACACAGGTAGGGTGGCAATAAAATCGACAACAACCCCTCGTAAAATGAACAAACACTATTGTGGTTTTTTTTTCTCTCTTTTTCTTTTTTTTAGAACAACCGGACTCACAAAAAATTATACATTATCGAAAAATCTCACCTTTTCCACACCGTTTATTATCATTATCATTATCATTATTATTATTTTGGAGCAGCACTTATACGGAGATTTTTATACCCAGATGACTATATAACGAGAACCTGCAAAAATTTTGTTGTTGTTGTTGTTGTTGTTTGTTTCTCTTTGGTTGTTGGATGAATTTCAAAGGGTTCATCTCAAAGAAAGGGTTTTTAATTTTTTTTGAAAAACTTGTAACCGTTTGTTCCCGTTTGTCCTTTCGTTTGTATTCATCCCTTCATCGTGCATATATTTCCCCCCCTCCTCCATTTTCTCTCTTTCTCTCTCTGACAAACAACGTTCAACTTATCTTTTTCCAACAAACACGTTTAAACATTACCATCATTATTATTTTTTTTCGCAACAAACTCGATTTCCTCCCCCCCCCCCGAAAAAAAAGGAAATAAAAAACAAAACAATCGACAAACGACAAATAATAAAAAAACCGAATTTTTAAAAAAAAATTTTTTTATCGAACCCAATCTCCTGCCACCCTTTAAAAAAAAAAAAAAAAAAAAAATTTTTCTCCCGCGATAAAAAAAAAAACGTTAAAAAAACAAACCAACGCCTTCAACGATAAACAAACATTAATTTCGACAACTACAACAACAAACGACGACAACAACAAAGACGAAAATCTTTGTTACAAATCGTTACGTCAAAATCATCATCGACGGCGGATAAACAAATTTAAAAAAAAAAAAAACAGGATTTTTATACGTACAAAACGGTACATCCAAACAACAACAACAAACAACAAACAAGTGACAAACATTCGATAACAACAAAAAATAAAACACATTTTTCTTACGCACAGAGAGAGAGAGAAAAGCATCCGACATTTTTTTTTTTTTTTTTAATAAACTTATGTATTACGGTAACACACTTTTAAAGGTAAATCATCATCATCATCATTATTAAATTTGCCACGAGGCACATTCTTCATTCATTTTCCCATTTCTTTTTCTTTTTCTTCTTTTTCTTCTTCTTCTTCTCCTTCTCCCTTTCTGTCAGAAACGACATCGTACGTAATATGTATGTACGCCCTGGCAACCTGTTATACGTAACGGACGTGGATAGTAGTAGTAATAATACCACAAAAGAAAATGAAAAAGAAAGAGAAAGATAAATAGAGAAAGAAAGAGGGAGAGAAAGAGAGAGAGAGAGAGAGAAGACGTTTTAAATAATTTCATTTTCCCTTCCCCCCCGTTTCCGTTTTCTCAAATTATTTTTTCTAACGGCAACTCAACAACACAATTCAATCGTGTGCAAAGAAACATGAGTCTTTTTAACATTTTAAAAAAAAAGAAGCCAACAAACAAATTATGTACAAACAAACAAACAAACAAAAAGTGGAACAAGCGAAACTAATTTACAGCTAAAATAAATTTTTGCGTGTATAAGTCATTATTATTATTATTATATTACGCCGTGTAATAATAATTTCGACGCTGGCAAAAAAAATTTTTCTTTTTCTTTTCTTTTCGACAATACTCATTAAATAATAATAATAATAATAATAATAATAATAATAATAATAATAATAATGATAATAATAATAATTCTCTCTTTCAATTTTGAGATTTAGAAAAAAAAAAAAACAAACGACGACAAACTGGGCAACAAAACGTTGTCGTCGTCGTTTCAACTGCCAACATAATAATAATAAACCGTTAGTCTCGTTTCATTCCTCTTTCCTTTGGGGGGGAAAGGGGGAGGGATCCCAAATTTTTTAATGCTTTCCCCTCCCCTTCCTCCATTTAATTTTTTTTTCGTCATTCGAAAGAATTTTTCTGAGAGAAAATAAACTTTTTTTTTTTTTTTTTTACATTTTTAATGGAACAATTTCGCAGAAAAAAAGCAAATATTTAAATTTCAAATTATTATCGATCCGATAATTTAATAACAAAAAAAAAAAAAAAAAATAGAAAAAAAATAAAAAACAAACAAAAACAAACGAAAAACAAACGAAAAACAAACGAAAACAAACAAACAAAAGTTTTGTGCTTTATTAACGCGCTCGCATTGTAATAACCCAATAACCAAATTTTTGCCTTTTCTTTCCTCCTCCTCCTCCTCCTTGTTAATAATAATAATAATAATAACAACAACAAACAAAGCAGAAAAACTTTTCCATTTTCTTTTTAAACTTAAAGAAGATTTACGCAAACGAACAACGTACGCTTTCTTTCCGCCATATTTGATTTTTCCATGTCGAAAAATTTTTCGCGTTACCTCTTACATACTCGTATCTCATAACACGAAACGTTATCTGACCCTAATTTTCTTTTTCTTTGTTTTCCGTCGTCTGCCATGCACATCACATCTCCATACGATCGATTAATAATAATAATAATAATGATAATGATGATGATAAAAATACGTTTTAAATGTTTGTTTTTTTTTTCCTACCTTTGTGTCCCGCTCTACCTTCGAAACACCAACAATCGTCGTCGAGGCAAACGGGTGAAAAACGCGAACCGTTTTTCTCGTTCGAGTCCGTTCGGGAAAGTCCGTTGCGGTGTCCGCGCGTTCCAGACTCTACTGCTGCCACGACATCATTCGCCGCTCTTATTTGCTCCGGAGTCAATTGAGCGGGATTCCCTCCCTCGTCCTTTTCCTCCTCCTCCTCTTCCTCTTCTTCGTCGTCATCTTCGAAATAACCGCTTTCGTGTTCCGCAGTTTTATGAACACCCATTTCACTGTTTTGCGATGAACTTATTATTTGCATCGTTTTTATTTTAATTTAATTTTAATTTAATTAAAATTTATTTATTTTTAAATAACGATAATAATAATAATATAAAGAATATAAAAAAAAAATAAAAAATAAAAAACGGTAAACCGGATGTCAACTGACCAAAAAATAATTTCCGTCAAACATTTTCCCCGCTCTTATTATTATTAATATTATTATTATTATTATTTCAATTGAGTCGGTGATGATTATTGACATTCGAAAGAAAAAATCCGCGAATACGCGCGTAGACAACTTATAGAAATTTATTTATTTTCTTAATTTAATACTTTATCATTTCCTTTTTCTTCTGCCACGACGGAAAAACAAAAACAATACCGTCAAAACGACACTTTATTCGACCTTATTATTATTATTATTATTATTTTCAATAATAAAATTTTAAACGACGTTACTAAAAAAAAAAAAAAAATTTATTAATTCACTCGCGAATTAATATTAATAATAATAATAATAATAAAACAACGAAAACGAACGACGACGACTACGACAAAAAATTTTTTTTTTATATAAATAAAATAACAATAATAATAATAATAATGATAATGATAATTTAGTAGTTATTAAATTAAAATAAAAAAAAAAAAAGTTATGAAATCCAAATGGAAAAAACTAGGTCAAGACACGTTTATAATTAGTTCGAAATTTCACCGCTAGGAGGTATGGGGGAAAAAAAAAACAAGATGCGCGCTCGCTCCACGACGACGTGATAGTTTTAAATACCGTTGCTTTTTTTTTCTATCTATCTCTATCTCTCTCTCTCTCTCTCTTTGAAATCTATTTTACAGTTATTTTCAGTTGATAATTTATTGCACACGCACACACGCACACGAAACCACGCGCGCACAACTTACGACGACAATAATAATAATAATAATAACGACAGCGACAACAACAACAACGACAGCAACACTTGTATAAAAAAAAAAAAAAGTGTGCGAGAGAGAGAGTAAAAAAAAATTTATTATAACACTCTATTAATATTAATAATAATAATAATATCGATGTCACTGTAACTCTTCTTTTTTATTTTCTTTCCCTACACAACAACAATCAAATACCAGACGATAAAATAATAATAATAATAATAATTAACGATTAATACTCGCGTATGCGTGCGTGCGTGAGTGCGTAAGTAAGTACGTGCGTGAATATTCGCAAATAATTTTTTTTTTAAAACTAAAAATGCCACCCGTGAGAGAGAGAGAGAGAAAGAGAGAGAAATTTTTTTCTTTTTCTAATCAATTATGACAACTTATGAAAAAAAAAAAAAAAGAAAAAATTTTTTTTAAATAATGCCATTTATAAATTGCGATTGATATAACGGCAACATTGTAAATAAAAAGAGATAGAGATAGAGATAGAGAGAGAGAGAGAGAGAAAAAGAAAAACTTTATAAAATAATAAATCACGACTGTATTAATAATAATGATAGTAATAATAATAATAATAATAATAATAATTTTTTGGAAATTTAATTATAAATTTTACGCATAATGACATACGCACTCACGCACTCACACACGCAGTCACGCACGTATAAAAAAATAAAATTAAAAAATTAAAAAAACACGATAAAGGTACGCACGTATGCGTTATAAACGAACGATATGATTACACTTTTTACGCACCACTTACGCACTTACGCACAAATTAAAAAATTTTTTATTAATTATTATTATTATTATTATTACTATTAAAATTAAAATTAAATTAATTAATTAATTAATTAACTAACCGAATAATTCAATTATCCGAAAGACACAAAAAACACACAATAATAATAATAATAATAACGGCGACGGTAATTATTATTAATATTAATATTATTATCACACTGCGACGATCGCGACGATAATAATAATTATTATAATGTTTTTTTTATTTTATTAATAAAAAAAAAAAATTAAAAAAAAAAAAAAAGAAATAAGAAAAAGAAATAAAAAAAAAAAAAGAGAAGAAAAAAAAAAAAAAGTACACTCAAACTGGTAAAAACGAGGAGGTCTCGAAATCTACTAACACGCTCATTTCGTTGAAACTTGCTTCGAGAACGATCGTCTCCCCCCTCTTCCTCCTTCCCTTCCTCTTTCCCTCCTTCGCCGTCGCTCCCACCGCCACCTCCTACTCCTCGTCATCGTCCTCGTCCTCCTTCCCGTCTTTCTCCTCCCCGCCCGAAATTCCCCTTCTCCATCGTTTAAAATGCAATCAGCTGTTTCTGGCTTCGGTGCGATTATTTAAAACACAAAACATTTTAAATTGATTATTTTTCATCGTAAGGTAATTGTATATAATAATAATCTTCTTACGATTTTTTTCCTCTTTTTTTTTCGTTAAAAATGTTTTTTTTTTTTTTTTTTTTTTTTTCACTTGCGCAAGGACGATTTAATTCTATGCGTTTAATGCGCATGCTCCGTCAAAGTCAACTCATATGTTTTTTCTTCAACGAAGCCATAGGAGAATAATTGTGCGTGCGGGTATGGGTGTGCGTGTATGCGTGCGTAAGTGCGCGTGTTTTTTTTTTTTTTTTTTTTTTTCATTCTTCGTGTTTTTCTATTATTCTTTTCCTTCTTCATCTTTTTCATCTTTTTTTTCCCCTGAAGTTATTTATCTTTTTATTAGTTTTCGTAGAAAAAAAAAAAAGGAAAAAAGAAAATTTCCAACCGAACGGTGTGTGAGGAAAAATTTTTTTTTTCGGAGGGGGGGGGCGAGAAGGAAAAAATTTTCCTCGTAAGATAAGTAAATAAAACAAAAAAAAAAATTGTTACGTTCGACATAGACATCGAACGTATTAATATATATATATATATATATATATATATATATATATATATATATATATATATATATATATAAAGATTTCAGTGACTTGGCAAATTGTTTTATCCTTCCATCCCCCCTCCCTACCCTCCACCTACTCCTCTCCCCACCCCTCCCCACTCCCCGCGAGGATCCTTTTCCCTTCATTCATCTCCCTAAATTTTGTTTTATCGAGAAAAATTTCATAAATTTATTCGATCATTTCATTAATAATAATTTTTTGTTTTTGATGGGGGGTCGGGGGGGGGGGAATGTTAACAATTTTTTTTTTTAAACAAGGACAAACGATGTAACGACGACAACGACGAACGGTTTTTTTTTTAAACCGTTCGTTGCAATAAATTTAAAAAAAAAAAAAAAATTTTTGCTGACGTAACAAAAAAATAAATAAATAGTTAATAACTTTCTCTCTCTCTCTCTCGTTCGACATGGAAAAAAAAAACGATTTGATTTTTTTTTTATTTCGGGGGGGCAATGGGGAAGATAGAAAGAGAGAGAGAGAGAGAAAGAGTAAATTTTTTATTTTAGGGCGCACGTGTCGTCGTATAAACAAAAAAAAATAAATAAATAAATTACCAAAACCGACAGCGAAATTATTATTATTATCATTATTATTATTATTATTATTATTATTATTATTATTATTATTATTGAATTTGTGTTCCACGCAATCGTGTCGTAAAAATCCGTGGCATTAACTTTCATTTTTTTAAATAATAATATTATTATTATTATTCCCCATTTTTTAATTTGTTTAAAAACAAAAAAAAAAAAACAACAAAAGGAAAATTAATTACATGTTAATTATATGTATTTTACCGGGGGAGCAAGGAGAGAAGTGGGGGGATGGGAGTAAAAAAATTCACCACATTAAAAAACCCCCCAATTTTTTTATTAAATGAGAATAACAATAATAATAATGATAATATCAACACGCGATACACGACCGAACGAACGCGTTTTTTTTTTCTTGCAAAAAAAAAAATCATTTATTAAATAATGATTCATTTCACTCGGGTTTTTTATTTCGGATTACAATTCAAACAAACAAACAAACAAACAAACAAAAAGGTTGAACAACAACAGCCGAAACATTTTAAACAATAATCAAAAAAAAAAAATTATTTTGGAATTTTTTATTCGTGTGCAAAAAAAAAAAAAAAAAAGAAAAAACTGGAAAAATAAAATGAATCATCATTTTACAACCCGTAATTATTTAAACAATATTATTATTATTATTATTTTGTAGTTTTCAATATATAAAACTATTGACTCACACAACCTTTAACCTTTTTACTTAAAAATAATAATAAATATTCTCTCTCTCTCTCTTTCTAACCCCTTTCTCTTTCTTTTCTACATACATCGAAATAAAACAAATTTCAATATGGCGGACACTCACACACACACACGAATTCGATATTAATTAAAATGTTTATAAAAAAAAATTGATATGTATATATTTCGTACGGTAATTAAAAAATAAAAACCGTGACGTAATAAAAATAATTACGGGGGGCGGGTGAGTGAGGGGGACGGGGTACCGTCGTAAATTTGAGAAAATTCGTTACAAATTAATTAACGCCCCTCCGAATATATATAAAATTCAGGTTTTGTAAACATTTTTTTTAAAATTCATTTTCTTCCCTCTCTCTCCTCCCTTCCCCTCCCCTCCCCTTTTTGAAATGTTCTAGAATGTTCTATTTAATAATAATAATTATGATGAAATATTTAAAATTAAACCCCCGAAAAAAAAAAAAATTTTTTTTTTTTATTTCCGGTTTTTTCCCGCCGTCATTTTTTTCAGAATTTTGTTTGTATATTTTTTTTTTCTTCTGACACGTCATCGTACAACCTTCATAAAAAAGGTTTCTCTCTCTGTCTCTCTCTCTTTTCAAACGTGCACACGATATCCGATGGTGTCTTTTTTTAATTTTTCGCCATTTTTTTTTTTTTGGTTGTTGTACTGAAATAATTTTTTGTTGTTTGTTTCCTTTCACTTTCACTTCATTTAAAATTGAAGAACTTGTTTTTTTTTTTAAAGAACGTAATAAAGAAAGTTTTTAAATTAAGGGCGAGAATGATGGGGAGAGAGAAAGAGGGGGGCGAGAGGGAGTGGGGGGTTAAAAGAAAACGTCAGAAATTTTAAAAATGAT